TTACGTGGTATTTTCTTTTCATCTCGTCTCTGTATCATTCACATTAAAGCAGTGTTTCAGTGCAGCGCTGCTTTGTTTACAGCGGTAACCAAGGAAACGCTGTATCTGGTGTTCCAGAAGCCCTCTCATTTTAGACACTGTGAAAGATTCATTGTGCATACATTTATTGTGTTATAACAGAGCTTTATGAGATTGCGATTAACTGAGATGTCAGCTTTTTGTGATAATAAAGGAAGCGTGCTGCTCGCATTCTGCCATGCCAAACCATGCACGCAGCAGCCCATGCTTGCTTTCTGTAAAAAATAACAGTGGTTGTGAATGTTGATGCTTAGTCTAAATAACAAATATTTTATCGGTAGTAGTTTATGTTTATGCTGGGATGTTGTGGAGCTTAGGAGATGTTACAGAACCATTTCATGTAAATTTCTTCAATGTACTGAAAACAATCTATATAGATTACTTTTATGCGGGTTTTTGCGGGCGGGAGCGGGACAAAACATGAATGTCGCGGGCGGGAGCGGGACCAGATAAGATATATTTTTGCGGGAGCGGGTGGGTGCGGGACAGAATCTTGCGGGAACGGGCGGGAGCGGGACTGAAACATCCGTCCCGCGCAGGTCTCTAATTCAGAGCTTCTGATGTTTGTTTCGTTCAGGCATGTAGTATAATTTCACAAAGCTAGTCAGAACATTCTGTTTTTGCTTCAAATTGGGTTATTATTAAATCAAATTATGTATATGAAATTATATTACCCAAATTTGATTAGTAATGCGTTATATTACTGCGTTACAGCAAAACGTAATATACTACTGTAATATTATTACTTTTGTAATGCGTTACTCCCAACACTGGTTATCATACCGTCCAAATCTCATACCGGCCCATGCCTAATACAGATATACATTACTACAGTGATATTTCACCCGTCCGTTATTGCTGTGGAAAGAATCGGGCTTTTGGGGTCATTCATGGTCTGTTGAAAGTATTTTGTTTATGCTTTTACACTTTTAAATGTCATTTTAATGTTCGATGGTTGAAGGGTGAGTAGAATAATGTCATCTCATTGTATCCAGTAAAAAAAAAAAAAAAGATTATTGCGTTCATAGCGAGCATTTCACTGATTGTTTACAGCTTAACGGAAGTTACACCCATAGTTCGCGTAAAGCGTAATGGGGCGTAAGAATAAGGTGCATTCAATGAAACAAATGACACAGGCCTGCAGTGCTGTTGTCGCGTCGCGTCGCTCGCGTCCAGTGTAGACATGGTGTAAGCTTAGTTGTCAGTTATAAATTCGGAAATGACCACGTAAGAAAATGAAACTTCTATACCTTAAAAAGTATAGAAACTACTGAAGCAAAAACTACTGTTGCCATGGTTACCGAAAACCACAAAAGCAAGTGAACCAAGGGGGTCAAGGATCAAATTGTCTCATAAAAGCCAGTTATCATTTACTCACCCTCATGTTAGGGACTGACAGCCTCGGTCACTATTCAAGGCATCTTTTTTTCCTCTAATAAGACTGAATGGTGACTGAGGCTGTCATTCTGTCAGACATCTCCCTCTGTTTTCCTCAGAACAGAGAAAGCCATACGCGTTTGAAACAACATAAGGGTGAGTAATATGACATACTTTTGATTTCTAGCTAAACTATGCCTATATATCATCGCGTCGCATAGGTTGATACGATAATTCACGTTACCTGACCGGTAATGCCTGTAATGATGGCCACTTTCCTCTTCGTCTTGCTGTCTCCGTTCACATCACCACTGGCCGCCGCCGCCGCTGCTGCACACTGAGCCATCGTCTGGAGCTGGTTTCGGTTCGGAGTGTGTCTGTGGGGTCTGGTTCCACTGTGCGCGATCGTTTGTCATGAACGGATGCAAACACATCCGAAACTCCAGCTGCTTGAGCGACACATCAGGAACCTGCACTCAGCAGCCAATCACAGAGCAGAGCGCCTGTGACGTACGCACCACAGAATAAAGAGGAGAGAAATCCTGTTGGCTTGGGGATGTAAATGTGTCACAGCGCCCACTAAAGGAATCGAGGTTCAGGAGGATTTAAACAAACCACTTTTTTACTTTCTCCCTTTATTATTACATATCTAATATAATAATTATTATCCTTATATAATATGCCTACATTTTATAGTAAATCCTAGGCTAGGCCTAAATCACAGCTGAAAAACAGCTTCAACTAGTAAAGGCTGTTTTGCTGGTCTCCCAGTCTTGTCAAGCTGGTCTGTTGGCTGGTTTAGGGCTTTTTAGGGTCACATGTCGTTCTTACGACATGATGTTTTTTGCGCCACAGCCATAGATCAAGGCTTTGAACCACTGATGTCATTTTGAATATTTCATGTGTGAAAAAAATATGCAAACAATTAAAGTGAGAGGAGGAACTCAGGATTATGTGCATTTACAAGAGAATTACTTAAATGTGGTTGCTCCAAGAATAGATAAAATGAATGAACCAGTCAATCAAATGTTTGTTCAAAATATATTTTAATTTAGATAATATTTAAAGTTCTAAGGCACATACACCATATAAGGTACTTACAACAAAACATCTTTTAAATAATGTACAAGTACTAATATATGAAAGTACTGACATGCTTTTATTTTTCCTAGTAGTTTATGAGCTATTATATTTCAGCATTCCTCAATCCAGTCATCGCATATATAGAAACTGAAATCAAAACATAAAAATAAACAAATCTTTTATTAATGCTTACAGATCAAAAAGTGATAGTCCTGGTTTTTCAGCTTTCACTTAGAATCCTAGTGTCTAAAAGCACTAATTTGTTAGCCATAAGCTGACATACAGTACATTTCACCCCATTTATTATATTGTGAAAGCATTTCAAGTAAACATCAGTGAAAGGTGATCAAAGCAACAGTATCTTTATATTTAGAACCACCAGTGTTGGGCAAGCTACTTCCAAAATGTAATACATTATATATTACTAGTTACTGTCTTTTGAAAGTAATTAGTTACATTACAATATTAACCACACAAAAACACACAATACATTTGAAGGTAGTGTTCCGTTTTTTTTCCCCTTTTTTAGTTTGCCTTCATGGAAGGTGAGATGTCTACAACAAAGAGAAGGAGTGAGCAAGACCATATAATCGCCTAAAACAGCCAGTCTTGAAGCCAATGTCCCAGTCTCAAATTTCCAGTTTAAAAAAAATCGAAAACAAAAATACAATAAAGTGTAAGGTCAGCAGCATTAGCTAAGCATTTGGAGCTCATGATTCTGAATAACTCATTTTGCACAATACATTTGCCCTAAGGGAAACCCTCTAAATGACATTATCGAATAAAATGTGGTAAGTGAGAGCTGAATTTGGGTCATGGCTATTTGTATCAGATAACAGTAGCTACATGCACACAAACAAACTCCAAACTCTGACACTTAGACTTCTTGAAAATCAGCAGAAAAGACATAACATTCAAAATGATAGATTATTTGCAGGATTTTGACATTAAGGGTGCTAGATTTTCAAGTGTAAAAATACAGTAGTTTCTTTGTGAATTCTAATGCCTTCATAAATATTATGCAAATGAAATGTTACCATAAACCAATGATGTACAGAATATTACCATGATAAGACTCAATACATTTGTGCGTATAGAGTATGAATGATGATTTCTGTTGCACTCTTAGTCATTCACATACTTTCTCCAGTCCTGGCCTATTATAAAGTGCACATCCAAGACCAAATCCCTGTAGAATTAAGTGTATGTAGTAATTTTTCATAAGACGACAGCCACCAGTTAAAACCCACTTAAACCAGGACTGGAGCACAGGGCAAGTTCATCACAGAGCCATAAATGTTACCATTTTACAAAATGGTGAAATATTCTTGTGGAGAGCTGTACTTTTAATGTGTTGTATGCTGTTTTATACGGTGGCCGAGAAGTGCAGAGCAAATCACAATTCTGAAAACAAAATAACAAATTACAAACGCAAATGCAAGTCTAAAAAACAAAATAACAATTCAGAAAGCACAACAACAATTCAGAAAACATTATAACAAGTCAGAAAACACAATGCCAAATTCGAAAACAAAATAACAAGTCAGAAAACACAAAGACAAATCCGAAAACAAATTAACAAATCAGAAAACACAACGACAAATCAGACAAACCAGAAAAGGTAGGTATAGTTTGAGACAACTGGACGAGACATCTGTCAATCAACGTATACAGGAAGAACCAGCCGAAGAACAGCAGAGTCGTGGTAGAAAGTTCGGAGATGGTATTAAAGTAGCTCAGTTTAAATGTATTGTATGAATTGCCCTTACTATAGAATAAAAAATACGGGGTGTCTATTTACATTTAGTTAAAAGTAGATGTAAATCATCAGCTCCAGTGGCGCAGATGGACAAGTGCGTGTCATTGGCTTTTTGACGCGATCGACCCGGGTTCAATCCCACCTTTTGCCAAACTTTTTTTCCCTCCCTTTTCAAATCTCGTATTAGCAATGGATTCTATTTACACTAAGTGAAAATAGCAGTATTTTTAGCAATATGCTATTCACACTAAGTGCAAATACCTATTTACACTATGTTAAAATAGCAGGATTTCTACTATCAAGTATACTACTTGTTGCAAATAGTGGCAATTATCTGCACTTCAGTATTGTAGTACATTATAAAACAGTATGCAATAATAACGTATTGAGTGTAAATTATAATTTTAATTTTAATTATTAAATGGATGCCACCTTATTGGTACAATAAAGCCCTCCCTACACCTACCCAAACCCTACCCGATACTTTATTTTCAACTTTTTGATTATTTCCTTAATTTTTATTGAAAATAAATGCCTTTACAATGTGATACGAGATTTGAAAAGGGAGAAAAAAAAAGTTAAAGGCGGGATCGAACCCGGGTCGATAGCGTTTTGTTTTTTAGACTTGCATTTGCGTTTGTAATTTGTTATTTTATTTTCAGAATTGTGATTTGCTCTGCACTTCTCGGCCACCGTAGTTTTAGCTTAAAGTTGAGGTAAGAAGTTAATAAACATTTTACAGTCAGTATTTGACTGTAATATTGAACAGATGTTGTATAGTTGTTCAGATACAACTGTATTGGTCCAGTGTGTCACCAAGGCACCAGGAGAGCCAATGATCACTTCTGCAGAAAACATGAAATCAAGGATAGGAGAACTAAATGTTAATTACTTTTTAACATTTAAAGGGACAGTCCACCAAAAAATGTAAATTCTGTCATCATTTAATTAATAATAATAATTCATTTTATTTATGGGCACCTTTCAAGACACTCAAGTACACCTTACAATAATAAAATACAGCTGAAGAAAAAAAAAATTGATGTACTCTCCCTCATGATTAATTTCTTCTGCAGATCATAAAAGAAGATCTTTTAAAGAATGTTGGAATACAAAATACAATGGAAGTCAGTGGGAACTGAAACTGTTACCAACATTCTTTGAAATATCTTCTTTTGTGTTCCGAAGAAGAAAGGCATACAGGTTTGGAATGACATGAGTGTGAGTAAATGATGACAGAATTGTCATTTTTGGGTGAACTATCCCTTTAACATATTTCATGTTATGCATCTTACCTGTTTATCCCTCTGGAGGAGGGGCATGTGAAGAGTGACACTTGTTTTTCTGTGAGAGAAACAGGTTCATTAATTCTTAATTTGCATAAGTCACTACTGCACTCATTTAGTCACAAGCTCGAAGCTGTTATTAACCTTATGGTGCAGACGGTAGTGAAGGGCTCGGTCTGAAAGCCATGGGTGTTTTAGGGACTGGGATGCACTCATTCTCCAACTGCACAAAAAATACATAAATAAATAAACATGCATCAAAACACAAACATACTGGTAACATTTCAGAATCAAAAAAGGAGGATTTGTCAAATTTAGCCAACTTTTGGGGACACACAAACCTTTTGCTCTTCACAAGCAGGCGTGAGATGAAGTCTTTGGCCTCCTCAGAGATGTCGGCAAATTCAGCCTCTTCAAAACTCCACTGACATGCCAGGATGTTATTTAGTGTCTCATTATCATCCTCACCCAGGAACGGAGACAAGCCACTGAGCCTACACACGCAAACACAAGTTTTACAAAATGCTCTCCTTTTGGTATTATGATTGTTCATTGATATCTATGGACTCACAGCATGTAAGTGATGACACCTAAACTCCACATATCAGTTGGGAATGAGACAAATTCATAGTTGATGACTTCAGGAGCCAGGAACTCAGGTGTACCAAAGTTCACCCCCAACTTTTCCCTAGGTTTATATCTGAAAGGAAGATGAAGAACAAATCGGCGTGAGAGAAACAGTAGATTCACGAAGACAGGCAGAAAGAAAGCAAGTGTAAACACAGACACAGAAACAAATACTAACCTCCTTGCGAGCCCAAAGTCAATTATCTTCACCTTGTTTGTTTGTCGACTGACACAGAGAATGTTTTCAGGCTGTTGACACAGTAAACACAGGGATTTCAAACTTCTTGTTCTTTTCATGAAGCTGTTAAAATGCATATTATTAACAAGAATGTGTTTGGCACCTTAAGGTCAAGGTGTAATATGTACATCTTGTGCATATGCTGAAGCCCTTCACTGATCTGTCTGATGAACAGCACTGTGTCCAACTCGGTCAGCTTGTAGTTCTCATCTATGATCCGGTCAAACAGCTCTCCGCCATCAACACTAGGGGGTACACAGGGAACACAAAATACACATAGCATGAATGAGATTTACTTAGTGAGAGAGGATGTCTGTGTGTGAAACTTCAGTGTGTTTGTGGATGTAACTTACTACTCCATCACTAGAATGATTTCATGTCGAGATTCAAAGGCGGTGTAGAGCTGGATCAGATTGGCATGGTTCAACTGGTTCATCACTTCAATCTCACACTTCACTACCTCCTGACAACACAAACGTGTATGAAAATCAATAATTCATTCCAATACATTTATAATAGTCTTAAAGCAGTGGTTCGAAGACCAGCGCTGTTATTAACCATAGACTAACTAAACTAAATTTTAATAAACGTAAAGCTGAAATAAAATACAATATTTATTTATTTATAATTAAAATTTGAACAACTAGACAATTAGATAATTAATTACTAAAAGTGAAATAACTTAAATAAATAGAAATATAAAAAAATAATAAAAATGACAAAAGCACATAACCACATTACTAAAACGTAAACTAAAATTAAAACTGAAAATACAAAAACAAAAGCTAATTCAAAATATTAATAAATACTATAATAATATATACATAATACTAAAATATCACTGTTGTGGGCCACCAAGTGTTCCATAAGTTGATTGGCTGATTTAAAAAAAAATGTGAAAACCACTACCTTAAAGTCATAGTAATTACATCTTAAAGGGGTCATATGATGTTGCTAAAAAGAACATTATTTTGTGTATTTGGTGTAATGAAATGTGTTTATGCGGTTTAAGGTTCAAAAAACACATTATTTTCCACATACTGTACATTATTGTTTCTCCTCTATGCCCCGCCTTTCT